GGCATCCAATTCCTGAACAAAACCCGAAACCCACAGGCCATAAGAGATAAGATAGACAAGTGGGACCTCATTAAACTAACAAGCTTCTGCAAAGCCAAAGAAACCATCAAGAGAGTAGGGAGACAGCCCACAGACTGGGAAAAAGTATTTGCCAACTCCAGGTCCGACAAAGGCTTAACATCTTGGATCTTCAAGGAAGTCAAACATGCTGAAAAGAAAAAAACAAACAACTCCAGTATAAAGTGGGCAAAAGATATGAACAGACACTTCTCAAAGGAAAACATCTGAGCAGCCAACAGACACATGAAGAAATGCTCAACCTCACTAATCATCAAGGAGATACAAACCAAAACTACACTGAGATACCACCTAACTCCAGTCAGAATGGCAGTTATCAATAACTCAAAAAATAACAGTTGCTGGAGAGGGTGTGGCAAAAAGGGAACACTTCTACACTGTTGGTGGGAACGCAAACTAGTGCAACCTCTGTGGAAAACAGTATGGCAATTCCTAAAAGCTCTAAATATTGACCTCCCATATGACCCTGCAATCCCCCTACTGAGAATATACCCTGAAGAACTCAAATCACTCTATAGAAAAGATACCTGCACATGTATGTTTATCGCAGCATTGTTCACAATAGCAAGAACCTGCAATCAACCATGCTGTCCATCAAAAGAGGACTGGATTTTAAAAATGTGGTGCATATACACGATGGAATACTATGCAGCCATAAAAAAGAACAAAATCATGAATTTCGCAGCAACCTGGATGGAACTAGAGTCTACAATACTGAGTGACCTCTCACAGAAACAAAGATCTGAGTATCACATGTTCTCACTCATATAGTGGACCTTGAACATCCAACGTAATACTATAAGAAAATGACTGACAGTGGTGGGAAACTTTGGGGGGGAGGGGAAGGAAGATGGGATTAACGGTAGTAAATACCTGTCTGGGGACGGGGAGACACCTCTTATCAACAAGGGTCCCTGAACGAAGCACATTTGTATACCTAACCCTTAACTGTACCCCACAATATCATAATAAAAAATATTGATTATAAAAAAATAAAATAAAATAAAAAATGTGGTACATATACCCAATGGAATATTATGCAACCATAAAGAAAGGCAAACATATTGACTTTGCAGCAACTTGGATAGATTTAGAGTCTATCATACTCAGTAATCTATCACAGAAACAAAGAACAGAGCATCACATGTTCTCATGCAAAAGTGGACCTTGAACATTTACCATAATACTATAAGAAAGGAATTGGCAGTAGCAGTATACTGCTGAGGGTGGTGGGACACAACATCAATAAGGGTACCTGATATCAAACCAGGCAAAGTGGGGATCAAAGGGAGGGCCTAACTTTACCTGTATGATGAACACTTATATACCTAATCCTGAATTGTACCCTACATCTTTAAAAAAAAAACAAAACTGATGGAACTAAATAAAGAGAATCTGAAACATAATTGTATAATTTAGCACTCATCTTTAAGTAATTGACATTACAACTAGACCAAAAAAAAATCAATAAGCATACAGAAGATCTAAGTGATGGGATCAACCACCTTGACTTACATGACATTTAGAGAAGATTATAGACCCAAACTGCAAAATATATTATTTTCAAGTGCATACTGATGAATAATGAAGTTCAACTATATGCATATGCATATCAAAGAATTGTAGTTTTACCAAGTATGCTTTGCTTTCTGACTACGGAATTAGATTTAATAACATTGTGTTTTAGAAAAACTTTAAATATTTGGAAATTAAACAATACACTTCTAAATAATTTATGGGACAAATAGAAATAAAACAAGTAAAATAGTTTGAAATAAATGATAATAATACATATATAACACCAAACTCTATAGTATGCAGCTATGGCATTACTTAGATGGAAAATTGTAGTTTTGAAATGCCTGTCTTAGAGGAGGAAAGGTTTAAAATCAATAACTCAAGACTCCACTTTAGGAAACTAGTAAAAGGAGAAATTAATCCAAATTGAGTAGAAGGCAGGAAATAATAAAGATAAAATCAGAATAAATGAAGTAGAAAAGACAAGAAAATTAATAAAGTCAAAATTTGTTTTTTTAAAGTAAAAATTGATTAGCCCCTACTAAGAATGCCTAAAGAAAAAAGGGAGATTGAACAAATTAGTAATATTAGTAATAAATAATAATAGAAAATAGAAAATCTTAATAGCCTTATATCTATCATATAAATTATCAAAAACATCAAATAAAAAGTTTAAGTTGCAGTGGTTTCACTGATTAATTCTATCACGTATTTGAAATGATATCAGTTTTACACAAACTCTTACAGAAAATAGAGGAAGAAGAAATACATTTGAACTGCTTTTATAAGGCCAGTGTAACCCCAGAACTAACACCTGATAAAGATATTAAAAGAAAATCATAGGGCCAGGTACAGTGGCTCACACCTGTAATCCCAGCATGTTGGGAGGCCAAGATAAGAAAATTACCTGAGCCCAGGAGCTCAAGACAAGCCTGGGCAACATGGCAAGACTTTGTCTGTACAATAAATAAAAAAATTAACTGGATGTGGTGGCACACACCTGTAGTCCCAGCTATTTGGAAGACTGAGGAGGAAGGATCACCTGAGCCCAGTAGGTCCAGGATGAGGTAGCCATGATCAGGCCAATGCACTCCAGCCTGGGTGACAGAATGAGACTCCAACTCAAAAAAAAAGAAAAGAAATTATAAACCAACATGCCTTTGAACAAAAATCCTTAACAAAATATTATCTCATTGAATTTAGCAGTATTTCAAAAGGATAATGCACATTAATAGGTGGAGTTTATAACAGGAGTTCAGTATTGCTTTGATCATGGAAAATCAATGTTATTTTCATATTATAGGAAAAAAGGAAAACATCAGGTCAATGAATGTGGAAAAGCATTTAGGAAAATTAGACACCTATTTATGACTTGAAAAACATAGCCAAAAAAACCAAACTTATCAAACTTGGAATAGAAGGACACTTCTTCAAGGTGATAAATGGCTTCTATAAAAACGTAAAACAGCTGGGCTCGGTGGCTCAGCCTGTAATCTCGTGCCTTTGGAAGGCTGAAGTGAGTGGATTGCCTGAGCCCGCAGGTTCGAGACCCGCCTGGGCCGGTGAGACCTCATCTCTACAATAAATAAAAAAAATTAGCCGGGCATGGTAGCGCGTGCCTGTAGTTCCAGCTACTGGAAGGCTGAGGCGGAAGGATCGCCGGAGCCCAGCAGGTCGAGGCTGTGGTGGCCGGGAGCGGCCACTGCACTCCAGTCTGGGCGACTGAGTGAGACTCCAACTCAAAAAAAAAAAATTAAAAATTATCTGGGCATGGTGGCACGTGCCTATAGTCTCAGCTACTTGGGAGGCTGATGAAGGAGGACAGCTTGAACCCAGGAGTTGGAAGCTGTGGTGAGCTATGCCACGATAATGCCACTGACCTTCAACCTGGGCAACAGACTGAGACTGTGACAAAAACAAAAACAAAAATGAAAACCCACACACATGCAAAAACGAACAATTTTTTTCACTTCGTGAAACCCTTAAGTGTTATAAACTCCCCTCTCAGTACTGTTTGAGTTTCATCCCTTATATTTTGATATGTTGTATTTTCATTTTTATTGTTTTATGAGCTAAAAAAAAAAAACTTGGAGACTCCTTTTGATCCAGGGATTATTTAGAAGTGTGTTGTTTAGTTTTGCTTTGTTTAGAGGCTTTTTTGTTGTCTTTGTTATTAAATTCTAATTTGATTCTCCTATGGTCAGAGAACACAATTTGGTATGGTTTCACTTATTTTAAATCTGTTGAGGTGCCATGCCCCAGGGTGTGGCACATAGGCCTATCTTAGTCAATGTTTTGTGAGTACTTGAAAGACATGTTTATTCTGTTGTGTTTATAGTTATGCTTAGTGTGGAGGAACAAGGAAAAGTGGGGCTACACTATCTTATCCTCACCAGAAGTTAAAATATATTTTTAAATGCCTTTTTAAAAGAATCAATTGCCTACAAAGTAATGAGGAATTACCAGGGTGAGATTCAGAGAGGACTTCAATCCTAAGAAGTGAGTCCAGCGTTCAGGACTCTTTGTCCTGGGGCATTTAGTCTGGGAGAAAGCTATGAGCCTTGCACAGCTAAAGGTCAATAGTTGAAGTACAGAGCCTGCCAAGGGTGGGAGCATTGGGTGACCACCCTCTGCTTGGGGTAGAATCCCAAAGGGCTACTCTCTAGGATGAATCAGAAGTAAACTAACCTACACTGCAGTTTGAGTAAAAACAGAATCAGGAAACCTGGGTCTTGCTTCCAACTCTGGCACTAACAGGTCATGCAAGCCACTTCACAGCTTTGCAAGAGCCCTTGTTAACTCAAGGAGGTGAATGGTCCCTTCGATTTTTCCTAACTCTATGATTACCAAGTTTGCCCCCCTCAATGAATGAATAGCTAAAAAATGTGAGAACTAGAAGAGCTGGGTCTTTCATTAGATTTTCTAGAAAGAATAGGTTCTTGTAATAGGATGCTCATGAGGTCAGAGAGCATTTTGAAAAGCAATGTAAGCTTAAGTTGCAGGCGATGAAGGGAGAAGACATTGTCAGACACAAACATTGACTAAGAAAAATCTTATCAAGTAATAAGTTGTACAAAATGGCTGATGGAGGAGGAAGTTGAGTAAAAATGTGGGGGAGAGCAGGGTGAGGGAAATTCCATTACGTGACCTTTTATAAATTCTTACTTGCAATTAATAAGATTAGTCTAAATTTTATGTCTGTGTATTAATTTGTGTTCACTGCATACAAAGTTTGACCATGAAGAGACAGGTAAAACAAAATCACCAAGAAAAAAACTCTCAAAGGATGACCAGTGATGAGATTTTCCCAGAAAAGCTTAGAATTTTATTTTCTTCAGGTAAACTCCCCTGCTGATATCTTATAGGAAAATAAGTATCTGTAAATAAAAGAAACCATTCATAAATCAGATGTTCATATCAGATTTTTAATTCTTTCATCAATGTTACAGAATTTCCTTTCTAAGGTAATAGCACCTTCTAAAATGAATTTAATGCAACAATCAATTTAAATGGACAGATAACAATAGTAATGCTTTAAAATGGACTAAGTTCATCTTCCAGTTATTACACTGCCATTTCAATGATGCAGATAAGTTCATAGCTACAAAGCAAGCCAACATGAGTGCTCACGTATTTTGAGATGTCTAGTCCAGAGTCCAGACCTCTGAGAATTTTGCTGCCTACCACCTAACTTCTCGGCTTTTTCCTCTATAAGTCATTTCCAGTTATTTGATTCTCTCCTATTAAGAGCTTTTATAATAAAATAAGAATTAGGTGCTAACATTCTTTAATGGTATTATCATTTAAAAAGTAATCCATTCACCTAATTTTAGGAAGCACTTAAATTCAGTTATATTTTTAACCATATCACTTTTGTTCTTTACAGCTAATTTGCCCTTTCTTTCTGAAATAGTTATACCATTTTAACTACTCACTAGCCAACTGGTGCATAAACATATATGAAATCATATTATCCACGGACCATGTGTCTGTAAATTGCCATTTTCTTCAAGGAAAGCACCACCCAACCCTCCCAGCAGGGCTTCCTCTTTCCTTTAAGAAACCCTATGTAATGCTATACCTCTCGCAAAATTCCTGACTAGTTAGAAATCTAAAGCACAGCTTTAGGTTAGAATGACAGGAGCTGAGATGACCAGAAAGGTAAAAAATACTACCCAGGAGGTAGAAGTCTACTTGTGAACTTGGATTGCTCTTTAGGCACCTGGTAGGTGGCTGTTCAAATATTTCTTAAAACTAGGCTAAATAATCTCAGCTCCTCTGTGTTTCAATACTTGTTACCACGGAGTTATTTAGATAGTTTTGACAGTAAGTGCCCTTTACCACTGTTCTGGGTACAGTGTGAACATCTCGCATGTTCTGCCTACGTTTTCTTTCCAAGCTCCACACTGTTCTTTTTAAGGATTGAGTGGCCTATATTTTACCTAATATAGTTTGTGCTCTTTTGAAACTCTGGATCTTCAAATGCTCAAATAAAAAAGATGCTCGTGCTCTGTTAGAATGTGTTACCAGAAAGAAAATATTGCTTTGTCTAAATATGATTTTTAAATAAGATTAATAGTGATTTTGTTTTCAAATAGGCAAATAATTACAGACAAGACAAACATGGCTGAGATGGTGCATGATCTCTTCAATTCAGGCCTTTGCAGAACTACATAGAAGAGAAATGTATATTCATGGTATCTTTATTATTATAAAAATCAGGGTAATATGACAAATCAGGAAATAGCAATAATTGATTTTAGTGATAGAAACAATATGTTTAAAATGAATTGGTCAGTATTTGAATCTATTTTGGGAGGAAAATAAATAAAAAACCCATGTCCTTTGAAAAGAAATATGACAAGAAGTGCCCATAGATGCAATCTGTTGTTGGGAATGCATCTCTCCAAAACTCAATCTACAAAGTTTATCACATTCAATTTTCAGCAACTGTCACTTTTTTCTTGTTCTCCCAATTTAAGGAGATAGATTTCTATATTATTCTGGTGTTATCAGAAATTTCATTCAGTCTGAACAATGAATAACAAGTATTCTATAACATGGGTACAAAAAGTTGTTGTTTTCAACCAAGTTGTAAGACACAATTGTCCATAAAGTGCATTTCAAGCAAAAGTACCCATTAGGAGAGTAATTTAAAGTGCAATGTAGAAGGTACTTTAAGTAGTGCAAAGTTGCTAAATATATACATTGCATGTGTCAAGTCCAAATAAAGCAAGATATTTTCAATCCCAAGTTAAAGAAACCAAGGGAGACATATTATCACATCCATAATCCTTTGCAGGTATAAGTATTTTGGTCTATCTGTGTGTGTCTGTTTTTGTGTGTTTGTGTCTGTACCTAAATATGTATATAACTGCTTGATGGTCTTTGCAATGTCTGAAACTGGTATCCTAGAATTTGAAACCTTTAAACACTGACATAATAATGCCATCTCCACTTCAATATGCAATTTCACTTCAAAGTAGCATTAGGCTTGTAATAATGGTTGAGCTATTTCAGCCTGCATATCTTGTAAGGCAGGTATCTGACTGTGAATTAAATGTTTAATGAAAATTACAAAAAATACAATCACTATAATGCTGCCGAGACAGACCCCTATGAAATAAGGGTATGACTCTTCCGGCTCATATTCTACTGGTATATCACTACCAAAGATGAATGTAGTACTTTGTACATGAGGAATTGCACTTGGAGTTGCCAGACTGAGCAGGTCGTGAACATTCCTGAATGATCCATTGTGCGGCATGGCGGTGACATTGAGGAGGTGGCACAGCAGTGGGTACAGATCTGTGGAGTTCATGGCTTCTTTTGTAAAATTCTTTCTGAAGGCTGGACCATGGGCTAAAAATATTGGATGCATTTCAGCTAATGCATTATCATAACCATGGTTACCTACTGTAAAGAGAAAATACATGAATCAGTTAGCCAATCAGAGGGGATTAAATGGAAATCATTGCTGTCTGGTCAAGTTCTGTACTTAAGTGCAAATTTAATCTCATTTTACTGCAAAAATCAAATAATCTTTTACAAAAATTTCTGCTGGCCGGGCTCGGTGGCTCAGCCTGTAATCCCAGCACTTTGGGAGGCTGAGGCAAGTGGACTGCCTGAGCCCACGGGTTTGAGACCTGCCCGGGCAACTTGGTGAGACCTCATCTCTACAATAGATAAAAATATTGGCCGGGCATGATAGCACACACCTGTAGTTCCAGCTACTTGGAAGGCTGAGGCAGAAGGATTGCTGGAGCCCAGGAGGTCAACGCTGGGGTGGCTGTGAATGTGCCACTCACTGCACTCCAGCCTAGGCAACAGACTGAGGCTCCAACTCAAAAAACAAAACAAAACAAGAAAAACAGCTCTGCTGTTGTCCATATCACAGTTTACTTCAAGAAATGAAAAGTCAAATAATCCCAAATCTTTCTCACAGGCCAACACTACCTTAATCAGCAGAGGAGGAAGGGTACACAGCAAAGTTAAGCCAAGTTAGGGAAAAATTAGAGTGATCTGTATACATATGGCAGGCAAACTAATATTCAGCAAATACTAATTGGGTACCTACTATGTTTGAATTATTATTCTAATTTAAATACAAAGGAATAAAGGTGCTCTTAGTCTTAATCATCAAGTCAATAAAATCATAATTACCAAAAAAAGAAGGAAAACGATTCCTAAAGAAAAGAAACCACAAAAATCAAATTTCTCGTTATAGCTATAATTCATTCCTAGATTCAGCACTTGTAAGTAGAATAAAAAATCTCAACTTTGGTGACTTGGATCAAAATCCAAGTTAGCATGGCGTGCTTTAGTGTGGCTACAAGTAAAGTAAAAACTTTAGGGGTCTCTGATACAAAATTGTTAAGAATAGCTGAATTTTATTTTGTATTAGGTTAGAAAATATAGTTTATTTAGCAAGTAAATTGAAGAGAGAGAAAGAAAGAGGGGATTCACCTCTCCAAGGGAGGGTAGGGAGCCAAATAAGAAAATGTGGTCCGGCCACGGCTCAAAGAGCACTTAGCCACACCACAGTTTAGCCAGGCAATGGCTGCAATGGCCAGGCAATGATCGTGGCAATGGCTGAACAGTTGAATTTTAAAGGCATGTATGCTCAGCATTAATATTGGGGTGCAATGCAAAGGAACTACTGCTGATAAGACGGCAACCTAAGAAAACTGATAGGCTTTATCAGCATAAAGAAAAGATCATAATTTTTGCATAAGGGTCTCATTCTGTCACCCAGGCTGGAGTGCAGTGGCACGCTCATGGCTCACCACAGTCTCAAATTCCTGGGCTCAAGTGATCTTCTCTTCTCAGCCTCTCAAGTAGCTGCTACTACAGGCGCATGCCACCTCACGGGCTCATTTTTACATTTTTTTGTAGATAAAAATGTAGTCTTGCTATGTTGTCCAGCCTGGTCTCGAACTCCTGGGCTCACCCAATCCTCCCATCTCAGTCACCAAAAGTACTGGGATTACAGGTGTGAGCCACTATGCTTGGCCAAGATTATTATTTAAGGCGACGGATATCCCAATTACTCTGATTTGATCTTTACACATTATATAAATGTATCAAAATATCACATGCAAAGTATCACCTCAAAAATATGTATACTATGTATCAATTAAGAAACAATAAATAAATAATTTTAAAAAATAAAGGTGGTGAGGAGACTATCTAGTAAGTCAATCTCTAATCCTGTACTTGCTATGGAGAAATATGCAATGAGAAGACAAACAGCCAAAATAATAATAATAATAACTTCATAAGTTAATTTTTCTGCAAGTCATGAACTGACCCCTCAGTCATCTTAAAGTAATTTGAAATCTGTCTGGCAAAATTAATCTAAAGAAGTCATTCTAAATTCCACGACTCTTTTGAGTTTATTCAAGTAAAAATAATGCTGGATTTATGAATCACTAGTAATGATCTCACAAAGTACTGTGCTATTCAATTAATGGAGAGTAACACTGGAAACGATGCCATTATATAATCTGTAACTGACTGGATTGTTGTGTTCATTTCTATAAGAAATTGGAATGTAAACTCTTAGTCATGAAGGCAAAGATAATTTTCTCATATCATACTTCTTATTAGAAACTCTGAATTAAAATGAAATCATTATGGCTTATATAAAACCTTTCCCATAAGTAGAGATTTTAGCCCCTACCATAAATGCTTGCTCTAGTAGACAGTACTTAATAATAGATGCCTAAGGAGACTGGTTCTCAAACTTCAGAGTGTGAGACTCCTGGGAGAGTAGGAGGGAAGGAACATAGAAAACAGCGATTGCTAGGTTCTACCTTCACAGTTTCTAATTCAATAGGTCTGGGTTGGGCCCAAGAATCTGCATTTCTTTCTTTCTTTTTTTTTTTTTGAGTTTGAGTCTCGCTCTTTGTCATCCAGGCTGAAGTGCGGTGGCACACTCACGGCTACCACAGCCCTGAACTGCTGGGCTCAGGCAATCCTTCTGCCCCAGCCTTCCAAGTAGCTGGAACGACAGATGCATGCCACCACGCCAGGCTAGTTTTTGTGATTTATTATAGAGACGAGGTCTCACCAAGTTGCCCAGGCTGGTCTTGAACCCCTAGTCTCAGGCAATCCCCTGGCCTCGGCCTCCCAAAGTTCTGGGATTACAGGATGAGCCACTGTGTCCGGCCAAGAATTTGCATTTTTAACAAGCTCTCTGTTGATCTGGATGCTGCTGGGCTAGGGGACACACTTCAAGAACCACAGCTTTTGCACATTAAGGATTATTTATCTGTGGAATTCTGGCTGAGAAGTAAAGTGACCAATACTTATTTACTGAATGAATGAACATAATGCCACACAGATAGGACCATTATTAAGGTTTTCTATCAAAAACAGAAGTGATCAATCTATTGTGTAATTGTAGCTCACCAAACCAAAATTTCTAGAGAGCCCCTTAAATTTATGTTACCTGTAAAATACAAATCTCCTCAAAGATAGTAGTCCTTTTTTGAGCAATCCCCTTAACATAAGAGCTAATGCATAACACAAAAATCGGAACACATAAAGGTGGAACTTATTATTATTATTATTACTTGAGTTGGAGCTTTGACCTGCTGGGTTCTGGCAATCCTTCCACCTCAGCCTTCCAAGTAGCTGGAATCACAGGCATGTGCCACCACACACTCGGCTGATTTTTGGATTTATTGTAGAGACAAGATCTTGTCATGCTGCTCAGGCTGGTCTCAAACCCCTGAGCTCAGGCAATCCTCTCACCTTGGCCTCCCAAAGTGCTGGGATTACAGGTTTGAGCCACCACGACCAGTCAGAAATTATTTTTAAAGGCCTTCTTAAAAGCTTCCCTGGCATAACTAAATACTGGCTTATAGATCATTATCTGTACATAAAACTGTTTTAAGAACCAGAAACCATGTACCAGTATATAACTGCTATTATGAGTCATGAACATACTACAAATTCCACTGTGAGGCAAACGGTTTTCTTTTCATCAATAAACATGATAGAAACTCAATTCTACTTAGAGGGACATTTTTTGTACATCTCTCATGTATCAAGAGCCAATATGCAAAAAAGCATTTTCAGATAGTTAAGTACTGACACAATATGGTTCCTTCAATATGCCAGTTAACAAAGAGTAAAAATATCAGTATATAAACTGCTGTATTATCCATAAACCTCCACTTTAGCAAAAAATGATACAGAACTGGAAAAAGTACTATAACATACTCACATAGAAAGTCACCTGACTTATTCTGTAAAATATGCCACCCTTCATCAGCCACTGCTATGACTGGCTGAATTCGATCATTGTATTTATAATGCCATCTTTCTGGAATCTCCTCTTTCTTGTAAACAGTAAGATTAGGATGAGCATGAGCCAGTGCTTCATAGACTTCATCAAATTTACCTAAAGAGAAGGGAGGAAAGGCACTTAGAACAAAATGCTCATTGCTACACTCAAACAACCATGGGCAACAGACTCCCTACTGAGGTGGAAAGCCAACAACTGAATATAATAAAATATCAACAGATATATTAGAACTCCAACCCTTTGGGGAAAAAATCTTGGGGGGAACTGAAAAATCATTAATCTTCTGTGGTCAGTTTATCATATAAAATTGAGAGGATAATTTGTAGAAGCAGAAATCTCTCTCTAATTTAAAGAGTTCAAAACACACACAGGTATTAATTTGTGGCACTAAGTAAAATGTCAAGGGTACTGCAATACCCAAACTAAAACAAAGGGCTAGATTCTGGTAGTTATGACTGCAGAGACAGAGTCTCTAGACAAGAAAGCATGGTAAGTGGAGGATGGGGGCTGGGAAAAGGCAGATTGGAGGAAGAAAGCAGCCTGTGAAATGGAAAGGCCCTCAAAACACTGGAGGTGTTGCAAAAGCATTCCCTGTAATTACAAATGCATTAAACCTGGGTGCTGTCTTGATTCCCTCTCTCATTTTTCAAATCCATTTGCTGAGGCTTCATCCCTGCCTCCCACACCACAACAAGAGGACACCACTCCAATTTTATAAGGGACATTGAAGGGTTACTGTGATCTTTTTTTTTTTTTTTTTTTTTGAGTTGGAGTCACACTCTATCACCCGGGAATGGCCACTGCAGCCTCGACCTGCTGGGCTCCAGCAATCCTTCCAAGTAGCTGGAACTACAGGTGTGCGCTACCACACCTGGGTAATTTTTGATTTATTGTAGAGACGAGGTCGTGCCAAGTTGCCCAGGTGGGTCTCGAACCCACGGACTCAGGCAACCCACTCACCTCAGCCTCCCAAAGCACTGGGATTACAGGCTGAGCCACCAAGCCCAGTTATGATCTTCTAAAGCAAGAAAAAACTTGCTATTTGTTGAAAACTGTGTGTAGGTGCACATGCATACTTTTAACACTCACTATTTCACATGATTCTCTTAATTCCCCTTTGAGGGCCAGAATTCTCATTTGTGAGATATTTCAGCTTTTTAAAATCAGTTCTCTCATTTTGTACCTAAGACCAACCCTGTAAGGTGGTAACATACGTCCGAAGAGCAGGCCTGAGTCATGCTCTTCCACTTTGTGACCTCAGGTTGTTAAACCTTTTGAGCTCTTTTACCCATCTTTAAAGGTGATAGGTTGGGTATGAAGATTCCAGGAAAAGTCTGTAAAAAGTTCAAGGCATTGTTATTTCTTTCCCTGCTTATAAATAAGGAAAATAAAATCTCAAGTTGATAAAACCTCCTCCTCCTTATACTCCACGGCTTCCCTATTAAGCAGGTCTTAATTAAGGGTCCATAGATAGCTTTAGGACCGCCATGAGATAACTCTAAGTATACTTAAATTTTGTATGTATTTTTCTATCTCAATTTTTCTGAGAAGAGAGGCTATAACTTCCATCATATTCTATGATTCTAGAATGGTTAAAACCTACTGCTTTAAATATATGGAAAGTCATAAATATATATTATAGGAAAAAGGGAAAAACTAGACTCTGAGAAATGCGCTTTTGTCTTTTCAGAGTCTAAAGACCTACTGCATTAAATATATGGAAAGCCATGAATAAATGCTATAGGAAAAAGGGAAAAACTAGACTCTGAGAATTGAGTTTTTGTCTTTTCAGAGTCTAAAGATCAAATTCCAGAATATTATGATGACACAGGTTAAGTATACTTTAAAGTCACAGAAAGAGAAATCCCCATTCCCATGACCACACCGGGCAAATGCACATCCAGCCTCAGATCACCATTTACATCAGACTTACCTTCTTTGGGCAAGATGGCTGCCACTGGAGATTGGTCAATCAGTGTATAGTGGTCTTTATCCAGATACTGGTCAAGCTCTATTATTCTTTCCTCAGAACACTGGGTCATTCCGTGATCACTTGTGATGATAAGGTTCACAGTGTTCCATAAATTTGCCTTTTTCAGCATTTGTATGAGATATCCTAATTTGTTGTCAATATCTGAAATGATAGGCCCCATGAGTGGACTGTCAGGTCCCAATTGGTGGCCCATATCATCAGGTTCTTCCCAATAGAGAAAACCAAGATTTATGGGCTCTTTTGATGTAAACCAGTCAATAATTTTGGTAACTCTATCTTCAAATGAAACTGATTCATTGTAAGGCATATAGTGAGTTGGAAAGCTCTTATGTATTTTTACATCTGTTCCAGGCCACATGGCTGCACCACTCGTATGTCCTGCCCTCTGATTTGTGATCCATATTGGTGTTGCTTCTTCCCAAAACTCGGAATCATAAATATTCATGTGATCCAAGGAGAAAGATTTGTTCAGAATGGGATCAAACATGTCATTTGCAACAATCCCATGATTTTCTGCAAAGAGGCCAGTTACCAAAGTATAATGGTTAGGATAGGTCTTTGTAATAAAAACATTAGTAACTTGCTTCACATGAACACCATATTCCATGACATAATGAAAATGGGGCGTTGGAACTTTATATAAGTAATCCCAACGGAATCCATCAAATGAAACAAGGAGAACCTTCTGCTGGTCTGGTTGGAGAGAAAATGCAGTTGAAGAAATTACTGCAGCAAGTATGAAGGACACCGAAAGAAATTTTGAAGTCATTTTCAAAGTACTTGATCAGTTCAATATAAGATAATCTGTAGAATAAACATATAGAAGTTAATGGCAATAATTTTGTTTTAAATACTTTACCCCAAACTCAGAGTACTGCAGCTGAGTAATCCCAGCTATATCATAAATCACAGTCTAGAATAATTATGCTGGAGAACTCTATCTTAGATAAGAGACCTGGGGCTACATGTATAATAAAGCTAAGAAGTTTAGCTCATTTGTAAAACATTTTTACTTCCAAGAGTTTATACAAATATTCCTCAAAGGAATTATTCAAATAAGCTTGCCAATAACATTTAAAAATATATAATTTACTTAAATCTTTTCAGAAACATCTTCAGGTGGACCCAGACTTCTGAGTTTTGATCAGAAACTTTTCTACAGTCAAATACTTGTAAACATATCTATCATTATGGCTAGACCAACTATAGGAACCTAGTAGCAAAAAAGTATCATTGCAAATATTGGAAGCAAATTCAATATTGCTACACACAGGTGCGTGTGTACACACACACACATAAACACACACTTCTATTTTCAAAGCCAACCCCTATGTCTGGTTCATCACAGTTAAAAGTATTACTAGAAAGATAGGAAAATAAATGGACTTGGTTTCTTGAAGTAAAATACAATTTATGACATTCAAATATACATATGAAAAATAATCTGTATTCATTTATTAGCAATCAAATCATAGTCTTTAAACTATTCGATTATACTTTGAACTAATTAGATTAAGTGAAGTATAAGCAGAAGCAAGGCCAGGCATGGTAGCATCTGCCTGTAATCCCAGAATTTGGGGAGGCTGAGGAGAGAGGACTGTTTGAGGCCAGGAGTTCAAGACCAGCCTGGGCCACACAGCAAGACCTCATCGCTACAAAATAATTAGCCAGGGATGGTGGCGCATGCCTGTAGTTCCAGCTACTCAGGAGGCTGAGGTGGAAAGATCACATGAGCCCAGGAAGTCGAGGCTAGGTGAGTGGAGGTTACAGTGAGCGTGATCTGATCGTGCCACTGCACTCCAGCATGAGTGATGAATGGGACTCTGACTCAAGAAAACAAAATGAACAAACAAAAGCCAACATCCCCCTCGAAAAAAAAAAAAAACAGAAACATTCTGAAATTTGATGTCGACTTCTCTCATTTTTAAAGATTTGGGGCACAAGTCAGGATTGGGTACATAAGTGGTCTAGGTACAGGTGAAGTTTGGGCCTTCTGCTGGCCCTTACTACGCCTGGATTAGGATCAGGCACACTTACTGATTTTATGTGCACCCCCACCCCCTTGCAGTGTCCTGCTATTGCCAATCCCTTTCTTGTAGTATTATGATAGGTGTTCAGGGTCCACTTATGAGCGAGAACATGTGGCACTCAGTTTCTTGTTTCTGTGATACATCACTGAGTATGATAGACTCTAAATCCATCCAACTTGCTATGAAGTCTATAGGTTTTTCCTTCTTTATGGCTGCATAATATTCCATCATGTATATGTACATTTTTAAAATCCAGTCCAATTTCAATAGGCAGCACGGTTGGTTCCATGTTTTTGTTATTGTGAATAGTGCTGCAACAAACATGCATGTACAGGTATCTTTTTTGTAGAATGATTTGAGTTCCTTCAGGTATATTTCCAGAAGGGAGATTGCTGGGTCAAATGAAAGGTCAATTTCTAGTTATTTTAGGAATTGCCACACTGTTTTCCACAGACGTTGAACTAGTTTGCACTCCCACCAATAGTGTAGGAGTGTTCCCTTATCTCTGCATCCTCACCAGCATCTGTCGTTTTTTGTTTTATTAATGTTGACTTTTCTAATGTTAAAAGTAGTTAACATTAAATCTTAACAGTGCTATGTGTAGAAAAAGCACTTTCCAGGATGAAATATTTGGATCAATGTTGCATTTTTTCCCCTAATCTGCTTATGTTTCTAAAAAAACCTTTTATTCTATTCAAGAAAGCTAATAAGAGACAATGAATAAACAAGATGTGTACATTTTGTCAGTTCTCATCAGGCTTGCACATCAAGCAAGGGTCTTTTGTCCTCACCTCTTCCTGCCCATTCTTGCCTGAAGGTATTTTATTTATAAGCCCACCAAAACTTGGATCCAACCATACTTGGCGCAAATAAATCTCTTGGATTCAACTTTTGATATCTTCCTAATTTGAGCATGCTGAAGACATTTTTGAAGGCTTAAAAGTAGATATAAAGAACTGCTTGGCATCCTTGCTTTGCTATTAGGAGCACAAACTATGTGTAAACTTTGTAATTAGCGGAGTGCAATAATTCTGTTTTGTTTAATTGTGATTTCACATTACCCAGACATGATTAAAACTGAAATTGTTTTGGGTTCTGGTCTCAAGATAATGGTTCAAAAATTAAACTTAAAAATTATTTCTGACAAGCTTCTGCAAAGCAAAAGAAACCATCAAGCGAGCAGGGAGACAGTCCACAGAATGGGAAAAAATATTTGCCAACTGTATATCTGACAAAGACCTAACATGTAGGAACTACAAGGAACTCAAACGCGTCAAAAGGAAAAAAAAACAAACAGCCCCATTAAAAAGTGGACAAAAGACATGAATAGACACTTCTCAAAAGAAGATATACAGGCAGCCAACAGTCACATGAAAAAGTGCTCAGCCTCACTAATCATCAGAGAAATGCAAATCAAAACCACATTGAGATACCACCTAACCCCAGTAAGAATGGCCATCATTAATAGAGCAAACAACAGATGCTGGCGAGGATGCAAGAGAAAGGAATGTTTCTACACTGCTGGTGGGCATGCAAACTAGTGCAACCTCTCTGGAAGACAGTGTGGTGATTTCTGAAAGAACTAGACATTGACCTTCCAAATGACCCAGCAATCCCCCTATTGGAAATACACCTGAAGGAACTTGAGTCATTCTACCAAAAAGATACCTGCACACGCATGTTTGTTGCAGCTCTATTCACAACAGCAAAAACATGGAACCAACCATGCTGTCCATCGAAGCTGGACTGGATAAAAAATGTGGTACATATACACAATGGAATATTATGCAGCACAAAGAAGGACAAACATATGGACTTTGCAGCAACTAGGATGGATTTAGAGTCGATCATATTCAGTGATCTATCACAGAAACAAAGCACAGGTGCCATATGTTCTCACTCATAAGAGGACCTTGAACAGGTTATAATACTATAAGAAAGGGACTGGCAGTAGTGGGAAACTGTCAGGGGAGGGGGCGTAGGATTGGCAGTTGAGGGAAACTGCTGGGGAAGGAGGGGCATACCTCATCAACAAGGGTACCTGCATTATCAACGTTTGTATACCTAACCCTTAACTGCACCCCACATCTTTATAATTTAAAAAAAAGGGGGGGGGATTGGCAGTGCTGGGACTCTGCCAGGGGAGGTGGGGGCGGGATTGGCAGTTGAGGGAAACTGCCAGGGAAGGAGGGGCACACCTCATCAAGGGTACCTGCATAACGAACATTTGTATACATAACCCTGAATTGTACCCCACATCTTTAAAATAAAGAAAAAAAAATTAAACAAAACTATTTCTAAAATGGCAACATTTTTTTCGATTCTGGAAGGAACACTAAACATATCTGCAATAGAGAATTGCAAATAGGGAATTGCAAATATTTTTCTAACATATCTGGCTGAGGACAGTGGTTTCTCCTTCCTTCTCTCCCTTGTCCCCCTAATTTTCTCTCCCATCTTCCTAACAAAAAGGCTAGTATCAGCCGGGCTCGGTGGCTCAGCCTGTAATCCTGAGCTTTGGGAGGCTGAGGTGAGTGGATTGCCTGAGCCCGCTGGTTCGAGACCTGCCTGGGCAATTTGGCGAGACCTCATCTCTACAATAAATCAAAAAATTAGCCGGGCGTGGTAGCGTGCCCCTGTAGTTCCAGCTACTCGGAAGGCTGAGGCGGAAGGATCGCCGGAGCCCAGCAGGTAGAGGCTGTGGTGGCCGGGAGCGGCCACTGCACTCCAGTCTGGGCGACAGAGTGAGACTCCTACTCGAAAAAAAAAAAAAAAAAAGGCTAGTAACAACTAAATATAATTTAAGGCTAAAAAAAGAGAGATTCAGGGCAACCCCTTCGGGTCCCCTACCACTTTGGGAGCTTTTCTGTCCTCTCAACAAATCCTGCTTTCTTAAAAGAGAGAGAGAGAGAGAGAGAGAGAGAGAGAGAGAGAGAGAGAGAGAGAGAGACCGAGAGAGAGACAGAGAGAGACACAGAGAGAGACAGAGACACAGAGAGACAGAGACAGAGAGAGACTGAGAGAGAGAGAGAGAGACAGGGACAGAGAGAGAGAGAGAGAGAGAGAAAGAGAGAGAGAGAGAGAGAGAGAGAGAGAGAGAGAGAGAGAGAGAGAGAATCAACTACATGCAACACCCGATTTTCTCGTGTCTTAGCGAATTAATTCAGTAATTGTGCAAGCAGGAGAAAACTGCTTTCCTGGGACCAACAAAAGTAAGCAAAAATTGCGCGTGCTGTCTAAAGCTTAGGAATGTTTGGTAAGAAGAACCAGCGTCACATCGATGACATGAAACAATAAACAAAGAGGTGGGGGTGAGGATGAAAGAAATCACAACTTTTTTCTTTTCCAAGCACAAAATGCTGCACTAAGCAGTAGAATCCCTAGATCTGGGTCCAGATTTCACTGGGCTGGTTTCCAGTTCTTCCTCCTCTCCAATCCTCCCTCCACAAACAGCCTTAGCAGTCTGCAGGGAAGGGGAGCCAATTCAAGGGAAGAAGAGGGAAAGCGAAGGAGGAGTAGGGTAGTGTAGAGACTGTCAAAGGGTGGGAGTCACAGCGTCCCACCTTCTACACCAGGTTCCATCACAGCCACTCAGAGGGGTCGTGGCGTAGGTTACGTTCCCGATTTCCAGGCATCCCGTCCACCGAGGCCGGAGGATGCCTCAATGTGGGCTCCTTCGGTGTGCAGCGGCAAGGGGTTGGCTGGCGTGGGGGGCAGCTTTTGGGACCCAGAGAATCCGTGTGGGTCCCCGGGAGGCAAATCGCCCACCCCCGGACTCACCCTCTCAGCGTTCCGGTCAGTCCACATCGGCGCGGGGCAATGAGAGGGGGGAGGGCCTGGGGGAGGCTCCCTCCAGCAAACCCGGGGTAACGGCGGGGAAGTGACCGGAGCGAGGGGCGCCCCCGAACCCTTAGTTGCTCACCTGCACGCAACCCCAGCGCAGAGCACCTGACCCGAGCCTCCGCCCGCCGCTCGCCCCGCCCCTCGGCTCCTATTGGCTACGGCAGAGATTGTCACCTCTGCCCTGGTTGCCGAAGGAGAACCAGACTTCCATGAATGGCTGCGCCCCTGTCAATCAGCGGGGACTGGGGGCGGGCGCTGCCCGGGTTTGGGGAATGAAGGGGTGGGACCCGTGGGAGCCAGGACCCAGCTGGGAGGCCCGAGGGGTGGGGAGGTTCAGTGTCTGATCACACACAAGCCTTCTGCAATGTTCCTCTTCCGCTTGGCCAGTTGTGCTGTAGTCAGTGATGCCGAGAGAGTATAATGTGCTACCCCAATGGCTGGTGTCCTCTAACACCGTTTTTGTTAAAACGCTGCTTGTATTCTCTAATCTCTTATCTGAAGTTGTGTTTTTTTGTTGTCGTCGTTGTTGTTTTTATTTTATTTTGTTTTTCCCATTTATCAAATACTGGGTGATGGCCACACCACGGGTTTTTGCTGAGGGACACCTGAACACCCGAGGCTGTTGATGAGAGAATGAATTTTTCTTCTATTCTTTTTCATTATTAGCAGGTGTTATCTGCTTTACCTCAGAAAGGATTTATTAATCTCGTCGACTCTGCCCTCCCCCCCAACGTTTGTTGTCCAGGTTTTTGCAATTTAGGTCTCTGAGGGATCTGTGATAAACCTAGCTAGCATGGCACCTGAAAACACACAAATTAAACCAAGTCAGGCTCAGGATTAGGTTAGTTTGCATCTGAGCTCCAGACTCTGCTTCTAGTTTTGTTTCTAAATACACATTAAACTACAGACTTTGGGCCTGATTTCTCTTTCAGGAAGTCTGCAAGCTTCTGATTTGTTGATGGCCCTGTTTCTTCTTTTTCTGTACTGCTGTGGGTTAATTTTTTTGTAATCAGTGGTATTTTTAGGCTTGTGATGTATAATTTGCCAGTTTGATCCCTGATGCTGGGTGGGATGCAGTGTGTTGCTCCGTGGTTTTTTTTTTTTTGACTACGCCACAGAAAAACATTTTAGAGCGAATCCATAGTATAATTTATGACAGAATCAGATTAAAGAGAAAGATGCATACTCAAGAGCAAGCATGGGTCCCTTGAGAGGGCACGTGCTTGTATTTTTTTTTTTTTTTGAGTTGGAGTCTCACTCTGTGGCCTAGACTAGAGTGCAGTGGCCACTCCTGGCCACCGCAGCCTTGACCTGCTGGGCTCCAGTGATCCTTCTGCCTCAGCCTTCCAAATAGCCGAAACTACAGGCATGCGCTACCACTCCCGGCTAGTTTTATTTATTTACTGTAGAGACAAAGTCTCACCAAGTTGCCTGGGTGGGTCTTGAACCCGTAGACTCAGGCAATCCACTTGCCTCAACCTCCCAAAGTGCTGGGATTACAGACTGAGCCACTGAGCCTGGCATGTGCTTGTCTTTTTTTTTTTTTAGTTGGAGTCTCACTCTGTTGCCCAGACTGGAGTGCAGTGGCCGCTCCTGGCCACCACAGCCTCGACCTGCTGAGCTCCGGCGATCCTTTCGCCTCAGCCTCCTGAGTAGCTGGAATTACTGGCATGCGCTACCACGCCTGGCTGATTATTTTTTGATTTATTGTAAAGATGAGGTCTTAACCCGCGGGCTCAGGCAATCCACTCACCTCAGTCTCCCAAAGGCGCGGGATTACAGGCTGAGCCATCGAGCCTGGCTGGTGCTTGTCTTTTAACAATAAACTTTTATATATTTTTACAACCATGTTTAAGCACACCATGTTTAAGAGCAAGTGGTGGATTGCAGGTATCTGGTCACAAGTTTTGACTACCACCTCTCCACCTTTGATGAGCTAAGAGGGAGGGCTGTAGGTGTCTGGTCACAAGTTTTGATTACCATCTCTCAACCTTTCAAAGTCACAAGGACCTGCTAAATAATGAAAGTTATTGCCTGACTAGATCTGGGCTTCTCTGAGAGCATGGTGTCTTTGTATTGGGTAATTCCCTATCGTTTTGTGATTTCTTGCACTGATAGGTCCACATTCTAGCCCATGAGGTGGTCAAATCTGGTGTGCCTGGTCATTTGGGTGAAGGTTGTGTGCCAATAAGAAAGATGACTGAATGCTTACCGTATTTTAAACTGCCTACGAGAAACTTATCTACGTCTAACCTACACCGAATAACCTGCTTCAATCCCAAATGTCTTTACCATAAACTATAGCAGTGTATTGAACTACGCTGAAAGGATTTGTCTGTGTACACAATTCCAGCCCCAATTCTGACCCAATTAGATAGAATTCTAATTCTGTCTGCAGTGGGCAACAATATCTGCTTTATTGTTACAATTTAATTTTTAACATCTAATTAGCTGGTGAAACTGGCAGCATACCTGCAACAGCGGCTTTGCTTTCTGAAGTGCATGTCCCCTATCTGGTGTGCTAGAGTTGATATTTAGTTAAAAGAGGCAAACATCTTGGTCATAGGTTTTCTTTGTCAGCTTCTAATAATCTCAACCCTAAACATTGCTACCTCCTAATTGGGTCATCCCATCCTGAAGGGCATCTGGGCACTCTGCCACGGCCTTTTATTCTTGGTAACTTGAGTTTATGGTTTTCAACACGTGGGATAGGGATTAAGAGGGAGGCTGGTTTCTGTGTTTAGTCAGATCCAAGGACAATGAAATTGAACATGTTGTTCCAAAGCCCTGTCCTTTGAAATTGCTCAAACTTGGAACAGGGTGGTCTAATCTTATAAATCCTTGTCCCACCAAAATAAGCCAACCCTGTGTTCTCCTGAAACACTCAAAGAACAGTTTATGCTTATCAGAGAGCAGGAGAAGTGAAAATTCTGTGTTTTATACAGGTCACTGAACATTGCTGGACTCTATTCAGTTGACAATCTGCCTTGCTCTGCAAAATTTTTATGGAAGTCGTGATTGTATTCACCAGTTACCCCTGTGAAATAGACATGGTACAGCTGTAAACCACAGTACACAACACAAAAAAGTGCTCGTAAGAGACGAAGTGAGTGTCAGACACCTCCCAGATCTCCATATAATGATATTCAATAATGTTCAGCTAGTAGACTTGTTTTGTACCTCATATCACTAATGGGGGGAAAATCTGGTTTGAATAGGATAGATGAATGATTGTAAAAATATGGAATCTCTACTTGCCTTGCCTGTTGCCTCAATTTCTGTCCAGATACAATGGGTACTTAGCAAATTACGTTGGCATAAGCCACAACCTGTTATTGACTGTAACTATTCTTTTATTCTATATTATTGAATTATTGGAATTATAATTGAGCTACTAATATGTTTCTGAACAATGGAATAACAGAAGAATCAATTTCTTTTTTCTAAGGGTTTGGGTGGGGTGGGGAGAAGAGATCCCTCTGCCTATCTAGGAAAGTCTATTGTAGGGTTTAGGGCTTGACTATTTTCTTCCTCAGAATCTGGAAGAGCTTTGTGCAAAAACAGAAATATAATCTGTTCTTTATAAAATAGCCAAAACTGCCTTTAAACACAGAAGTCTTGCTCTCAGACCTAGATCCTGTGGTAGCAAAAATGAACAAATAATTTTACAACTTAAAAAATCTTTAAGGTTACATTACAGTATATTATACCACACATAACTAAACTAAAAGAGAGTTAATCTCTTAATCCTTTATAGAACATTCTGCAAAATATGAGTCTCACTTTTCAAAGGTCATGGGTAGGAACCACCAGGACTCTGGTTCTGGACTGATCTTAATGCATGATTATTTTTTTTTTGAATCAGAGTCTTACTCTGTCTCCCAAGCTGGAGTGCAGTGGCATGCTTATGGCTCACCACAGCCTTAATCTCCTGAGTTCAGGTGATCCTTTCACCTCAGCCTCCTAAGCAGCTGGGACTACAGGTGTGCACCACCATGTTTGGCTAATTTTTTCTATTTTTCTGTAGAGATGGGGGCTTATTATGTTGCCTAGGCTGGTCTTGAACTCCTGGGCTGAAGCAATTTTCTCATCTCAGCCTCTCTAAGTGGTGTGATTATAGGCGTGAGCCACTGCACTTGGCCTTAATTCATGATAAACAGTAGGTCTTCACTAATTTGGACTTATTAGCAGAAGTTCAGTCCAATGAGTGAAAAGTTAAATTATAGGATAGTTGAAAACTTAACCTAAGGATTTTTATACATATTAGTAATTTAGGTTTTAGTATAAAAAATGATCTATTTGTGCTAATTAGAACTAGTTTCACACAATTATTATAATTTTATCCTCAGAAAGCTTTATATAAGTCAAATATAACCTTATAAAGTTCTTTGTGTTATTGTACCTTAAATTGCATTCATGGTGTTAGTTTTCTAGGGTTGCCCTAACACATTACCACAAATGGGGTGGCTTGCAACAGAAATTTGTTGTCTCACAGTTCTGGAGGCCAGAAGTCTGAAATCAAGATGTAGTCAGGGCCATGCTCCCTCCAGAAACTCTAAGGAAGAATCCTTGCTTGTCCCTTTCACCTTCTGGGGAGTTTGGTATTCCTTGGCTTGCTGTGGCATAGTGCCAATCTGTGCTCCATCATCACATGGTGGTCTCCTCTGTCAGGGTCTGTGTGTCAGTCTCTGGCCTTCTTATAAAAACACCAGTCATTGAAATTAAGGCCGACTTTAACTCAGTATAACCTCATCTAATTTAATTACATATGCAAAGATCCTCATTCCAAGTGAGGTTGCATACTAAGGTTCCAGGTGAATGTATATTTTGGAAGAACACTATTCAATCCAGTACACACAACTAGCAGAGAGTTTTGACCCAACCAAGATCAGATGTTCATGAATTACTATTAAAATGGCCCCAATCAAGGAAACTGACGACATTTAGTATTGACGAGGATCGAGTAAGTGTGACTATCATACACTGCTGGTGATAACAGTATAGCCACTATGGAAATAAGTTTGGAAGCTTCCTATAAAATTAAATATACACATATCATAGAACACAGGAGACATACTCCTAGGTAGCTATACAAGAGAAATGAAGA